TAGATGTGTGAGGGTACAGAAACATAAGGGAATGTATTAGTGAGAAGGAAGAACAAAATGATTAGATTTGTGAGGGTACAGAAACATAAGGGAATGTATTAGTGAGAAGGAAGAACAAAATGATTAGATTTGTGAGGGTACAGAAACATAAAGTGATATATTAGTGAGAAGGAAGAACAAAATGATTAGATTTGTGAGGGTACAGAAACATAAAGTGATATATTAGTGAGAAGGAAGAACAAAATGATTAGATTTGTGAGGGTACAGAAACATAAGGGAATGTATTAGTGAGAAGGAAGAGCGAAATGATCAGATGTGTGAGGGTACAGAAACATAAGGGAATATATTAGTGAGAAGGAAGAACAAAACGATCAGATGTGTGAGGGTACAGAAACATAAGGGAATGTATTAGTGAGAAGGAAGAGCGAAATGATTAGATGTGTGGGGGTGAAGAAAGGGAAGGGAATGGCACAGAGATATAAGTAAGACGTTAAAACGGAGTGGAGGTGGACAGAGCAATAATTACGTTTAGAATAACAGAAGTGTGTTTATATTTTGTGCAAAAAAAGTTCATTATGCATGCACTTATTTCTTTATGTATAACTTAAGTAACTACACCAGTTGTTCATTAGTTTTTTGCACACCGAGTGTTGTAACAACATAAAATACAATGACTCGTTAAACAATATATGTGGACTCTACCGGTAACGAGTGGTGTAAAAACAAGTCGATAATTTGAAGCTGAAGAATACTTGCCCTTTTAACTCATGTCTCTAATAAGATCAGAAATGGAGAGACATTACGCAGATTTGTCCTGTGATTTGAAAAGCTGATCCCCTAAGCTCCATTAGACAAGTTTTAGTTAAGGATTTTGACAGCAATAACGTGTCGTCTTTGGACGAACCGATCGATATCTAGCATTCTAAGTTAGATCGTTGCTAGGAGATGTAAATTCATCACATTTATTGCGTCATTTCTCATCACACCGCAGAAAAGTATAGCCAAATTTGGTTTAAATTTTTTCTAGATGGTTCTTCGCTATTTTGAGCCTACTTCGGCCACCTGCCTTGCTGAGCCGTGGTTTAGAGAATTGGGATTTGCCATGTTTTATGGAACGATTGTGTTGAAGATCTACAGGTAAGTTTTGTATATTCAACTAATTTCTATCTTTTTTTTATCTCCAACAAACTAGAAAAATATGGAAAGTTTAACGCTTAGAAGCGACATCTGGTAGAATGTTATGTATGCTCGTGAAGTATGAGTACAAAATATATACATTTTTATGGTATATACACGCACACACATATTTATACGTATTGTATATATATATATATGTACTGTACCTGTCAAAAGTATGAATCCAAGGGATCAAAGGTCAAGTTTTCATAAAAGGCAGAGAAAAACGTTGATCTGGTTTATATGGTATATTTATACTCAGAATAACAACTTTAAGTACAATAAATTTATTTTGGAACATAATAACAAGTTAACTGATCTGTATTTAACAGGCTCTCTTCTATTCTAGACTACAGAGTGTCCAAAAAGTCTAGAACCATAGGCACTTCAACGAATTTTACTGAAAGTGGATTGGATTAACAGGAGGATTATCTCGACCTTCTCGCGCTTTGACAGCACAATAATCAGTCACGTATCTCAAATTAAGAAGAGTTGCAAGTCACCTATGGTTCCATATTTTTCGGACATCCTATATATGACTACATGCATGAATGGTACCGGATTTTTTGAAGCTGCGTACTGGTATTACATTTCAATTTCGCAGTACAATGTTCCAAAGTTAATTACATTCTCTATCACCCCATTACTTTTAAAATGGCGCCAAAAATGTGTAATTGGATTGTTATCAGGATTTTTAGACTGGCCACTTCGTAACTTCTATATCACCAGGTTTTTCACTTTTCTCCAAACATCTCTTATTTAAAATGGCAATATGTTTTGAATCATTATATTGAAGAAGTCCAAATACAGAACTAATTAAACGTTGTTCATTGGGTTTTGCTTATCTAACCAGGATGTTGTGACATTTTTTGTTCTTTCTGAAAGTGTTCCTACGTTTCGTTCTTTTTTGACACCGTTCCTCTCTCTCTCTCCTGCAGAGCATATCCACACCGTAACAGGCCTATTATTATGTTTAGCTGTTTTATATGCTACTGCATTCTGGTGGTCACTTTCCAAAGAACTCAGGATTTTGTTTCTGGATAAAGCGTGCCTAACATGCTCCAACTGTGATCTAAGGGTGTATGGTTCGCGTCCTGTTGCCGACGCACTGGCGAGTCGGCTTGGAATCCATGCAAACAGAAAAATATCTTACCAGAAATTTAAGCTGTGGGTGTGTTATAAGAGAGACAGTCAAACGGTGTTGCTGACTTGCTGGCTTTCCTCTGGTCAACATTTCAGTATTGGGGATGGTGACAGATAGCTTTAGTAACTTGCCATAAATACAAGATACAAAAACAAATACGGCCAGACTAGAGTGGTCCAAGAGTTGACGATGGGTACTGTTGACTAACTGCCTTCCCTCTAGTCCATCATCTCAAAATTATGCGCAGATAACCCTAGTGTAATTTTTCGCGAAAATTCTAAACAAACAAACTTGTTTCTTCAATCTAAATGGTCTGTTTGTGCTTCCAAGTTTGTGATTCTTATCATGTTCAATCTCTTGACTGTACTTATTCGTGGGTGGCCCGGCATGGCCAGGTGGTTAGGGAGCTCGACTCACAATCTGAGGGTCGCGGGTTCGAATCCGTCCCATCAAACATGCTCGCCCTTTCAGCCGTGTGGGCGTTATAATGTGACGGTCAATCTCACTATTCGTTGGTAAAAGAGTAGCCCAAGAGTTGGCGGTGGGTGTTGAAGTATTAGGCTTCGTGGCAGCAATTTTTCTATGTAGACCATTAGTTCTAACAGACCTTTAGGGTTATGTTGCTGGTGTTAACTCCATGCTTATCTTGTCTTTCTCTGTGTAGACCATTAGTTCTATCAAACCTCTAGGGTTCTGATGCTTGTGTTAACTCCATGCCTGTCTTGTCTTTTTCTATGTAAACCATTTGTTCTAAAAACCTCTAGGGTTCTGTTGTTGGTGTTAACCATTACACTTACGTAAGTAACATGACAGGAACAGTTTTCGTTAAATCCCATAACTCGTTAAAGTTTTTCATACACACGATACTTTGTTAACTTTATCTGTCTTAGTAATTAGTTATAAAAATCATCATTTTTATCGGTAAGCAAATCATAAGCTTCGTTTTGTGTCACGATGAAATCCATTTCCGTTAATCAACCCATTCAAACGGTGGGTTGTTTCTCGATACATTTCACGAATGGCGCGTTGTTTCTTTGACACGTTTCACAAATGATGTGCGTGTGTGTGTTGTTTTCCGATATATATTTCATATCTAGGTGTTGTTTTCCGATATAT